TGTACAGATCTGTTATGTCACAAATGAGTACATTCATGCAGAAGTCTAAGTACATACTATGTACTTCCATTTTTACGAGATTTTGTACTCGTGGAGTCGACTGCTCTGCGCAAATTAAGGAAAAGCTATCGCTTTCGAATTCCGCTTACACCCTTATTTTTTGAAGAGTCTTAAGAACTCTTAACTTTTAGATTACTGGACGATTTCTAATAGCTGTCTTTTAGCTGTAACTAAATGTAACTAAAGTATAATGTAACTAAAGTATAATTACTATGTACATTCATAGAAAATGTCAATTATTTTTTAACTGAATAATTTATTTTGCTATTTATTTTCTTTCATAACTTGTATCTTCTTTGGCACATTATATATAGATTTTGTGTAAAAACTAAACTAATACAAAATACAACAAGTATAAAAACTTATATTATGTGTAATACTTATACTTCTAAAACACACAAATAAAAAATCGATGTCACCCAGTCATGGTTAACATATTTTTTGGAAATTCGCATACACACTTACCGACAAAAAAGTCACCCTAACCACCACTTTAAAAATGCAATAAGTAATCTGCAAGGGTATACTATCAACTTTCGCTCCGCCCGAAGTTAGCTTTCCTTTCTTGTTTTATAATGTGGTAACCAAGTAGTAAGAGAGGTATTAAGGTATAATAAAATATTTTATATTTTAAACAAAGGAACTGCATATGGTATGTAGTCTTGTGAATGTACAATGTAACATAGAGAATAAATCATCTCCGACCCCACAAAGTATAAACCTGAGGTTTTTATACCCTCGCAGAGGGTACTATTATTATTTTGTCAAAATTTGGAGCAGATACCAATCCAAATGGAACCGAAATTGCGTTCCTTGCAGCTCCTTCTGGAGAATTTCCACTTTATGATGTTAAAAGATTGAAACTAAAAGGTGGCTTTTTCAGCGATATTAGTTTTACATATATCGGATGTATTTTTATTTCAAAAGCTTGTACAAAATGGTTTCTGGTAAACTAGTCCTAACGTGACTCAATTTCTCCAAGTATGTGGTTATCTCTGATCTTGGATCTGATGGTACTCCTTCCGTTGCGCGAATTTCGCTTCATCCGCTTCCAAACCCTTTTTTTCTGTTCTTCCACTATCGCAATGACACTTCTTGAGATTAAGTCATCCTTTGAACCAAAAAGTCGCTGCATATCGTCGATCTCGAAGCCCCTGAAGAGAGCAACCAACTCCAAAGCCACTAGGATAAGGGACGCTGCATTATCCTTGACTCGCTTGAACATCCAGCCTCGTCCCCAGAGCCAATAATGGCATGCCATTTTAACGAGGTAATGAACAGTTACGCTGAGGGGAAACCACGCTACGACCAAAAGGACTTGGACCACTATGCAGAGGATCAGGACTTGCGCAATCTTCTCCAAAACATTTGGATTGTAGTCCACATCTTGGCTAAAGATTTTTTTCAAAGCCAGCACAGTGAGGAATATGAACACAATCGACTCCATGGTGCCCTCGGTGAGATTGTAGAAGAGATTATTCATATGGCAAAAAAGGGAAACCATCATTGCAATGATATAGACTTCATCCATGTTGTCCAACTAAAAATAGCTATATGTATTATTATTATTATTTTTTGTATATTAAGTTACTTACTTCTCGATAGAACCTTAAATTATTTGTAAAATCAAATGTATTAGATATGTTTAAAAGCTTACTAAAATTTATAGCACAACTGAGCAGTAGGAGCTCTTTTTAAAAATAGAGTTGAGTTTGGGGCGATTTGTTTTAAATTGTTTTCATCGCCTACTATTGTTAGGCATTTAAGGTCGATAATGGTCGAAAGGTCGGTCATTTTTATAAAAGTTTAATTTTTCAATGAAAACGGTGCCTCAAATCTTATATTGCAAATTCTTACTGACTTTGAGACTGACTGTAAGAGCACTTGGGAATTTTAATGTTTTCTTATTTAATTTCAAGCCGCAGCTACTGCATGTAAGTGTTCTTTTTTGGTGGGCTATCTGGTTCTGATCGGATTCGATTTTGGTAGAGATTACCTCAAGCCGGAGGATTTTCACGTGATTTTCGTGACCAGAGCTTCGGATACCATAGCTTCGAAGGGTATCGTCGACCCGATTCCGAAAACCGCAATGACTGTTCGATCGAGATCTTTGGTTTTATAAATTAAAAGAAAATTTAATTTTCCAAACAACTTGCCCTCTTTATAAAGCTTCAGCCAGAACTGGTTATACATATCATAGGTATAACCTATAACTGGTACATATAGGTAAAAAAATAAATTCATTTTTATACTTTCCTTTGCACGCAGTATAGAAAGCAGCTTTCAACGGACTGAGCTCAATACACTGTGCAAATCACTTAATCCACAATGTGATTTGCAAAATTGCGAATGAAGTACCAGAATTGCTGCATTTGATTAATCGCTGCAGCAAGCTTGTTAAATATTTTAAAAGTCTGGACAAAACTTAACAAGCACCTTAAAAAGCTACTGTCCAACTCGTTGGAATACAATATTTGAAGTCGGTTGAGCAAAACTGGATGGAAATCTGCGAAATTTCCATCGCAGATTGTATTCAATTGTATTCCAACGAGTTGGACAGTAGCTTTTTAAGGTGCTTGTTAAGTTTTGTCCAGACTTTTTAAAATATTTAACAAGCTTGCTGCAGCGATTAATCAAATGCAGCAATTCTGGTACTTCATTCGCAATTTTGCAAATCACATTGTGGATTAAGTGATTTGCACAGTGTATTGAGCTCAGTCCGTTGAAAGCTGCTTTCATATTAGCTCCTCGGTCGGTTACAATTATTGGATCGTCCATCAATAAATGACATCCAAAATCACGTAAGATTCGCTTTATTTTGTTTTTTATTTCATTACCTAAGAAATTTGGGTATTTTAGAATATATGCATATATACATATATAAATAGTTTGTTATTATATTTTCCAATGTTATACTTCTTACCGGTACAAGAGGCTCCACCCATTGATTTTACTGCTAGCAGGCGGTTTTTAAGAGTGCCTTCTTTGACATAATGCATTGTTAATGAAATGTAAGATTCCTTAAAGAAATCGTCCGTCCAGATATCCGAAGTAATACTATATCCGTATTGTTTATGCTCGTTAATTTCGATTTTCACTTCATTAAAGTGAAAATCATAAAGCGCACAAATGTTTCGCGATATAGTTGTGGGATGCGGCAATAAGGAGTCAATATTGACGTTTTCTCCTAGTTTCGCACCGACAGAAATAAAAAACTGTGCCAAAGTTTTTAAACCAGAATCCGAAATTAAATTAAACGGTCGACAATTCTTTATTGTCCACTCCGTTGCCAGATTTGTGCACTTCTTTTTGGTGTCTGTGGGTACATCAACGACTGGATTACTGCGCTTTCGGCTTTTGGCCATAATGTAGCACTTGTGTTTTACTAAATTTGATGTGCTTTTTTCAAATTTGTAAATGTTTTTGCATATGTTGCACACTACTGCATCTAGTCTAGAAAATGTGTCCCACACTTTGCTCCGACCACGTGAACCAATAGGCTTAACCTCACCAGCTAATAATTTGGATTTTAGCGTGGCAGCGTACTCTTTAAAAGAGGATTCCGTTGTTTTGTCCTGATTGCAAATAATTAGGTTTTAATACATGTGTTAAAACCTGGTTCTCTGGCACTAAATAGCCACAAACATACAAAAGACAATCACAAACAAATAAAACAACACATAGACTATGTTACAAAACATATATATTTGGACAAAAACTTACGCTATCTTGAGAGTTCATTGCATGAGCGTCGTTCTCCTTAAAATCCATATTTATGAACTTTTTGAAAAAATATTTGTACACGTCAAATAGTTGTACACGTCGACATAAAAACTGTACAGTGTGTTGGAAAAGGCACAAATTTAGTACTCACTAACGACAAGTACAACGATATACTGTACTCACTCGAAGTGAGTACACTGAAAATGTTGTGCTACTTTGTTCCGACCTATAGAGTACACTGTACAGTATAGAATGAGTGCAGTGTTTTTAAAACACTACACTACTGTACAGATCTGTTATGTCACAAATGAGTACATTCATGCAGAAGTCTAAGTACATACTATGTACTTCCATTTTTACGAGATTTTGTACTCGTGGAGTCGACTGCTCTGCGCAAATTAAGGAAAAGCTATCGCTTTCGAATTCCGCTTACACCCTTATTTTTTGAAGAGTCTTAAGAACTCTTAACTTTTAGATTACTGGACGATTTCTAATAGCTGTCTTTTAGCTGTAACTAAATGTAACTAAAGTATAATGTAACTAAAGTATAATTACTATGTACATTCATAGAAAATGTCAATTATTTTTTAACTGAATAATTTATTTTGCTATTTATTTTCTTTCATAACTTGTATCTTCTTTGGCACATTATATATAGATTTTGTGTAAAAACTAAACTAATACAAAATACAACAAGTATAAAAACTTATATTATGTGTAATACTTATACTTCTAAAACACACAAATAAAAAATCGATGTCACCCAGTCATGGTTAACATATTTTTGGAAATTCGCATACACACTTACCGACAAAAAGTCACCCTAACCACCACTTTAAAAATGCAATAAGTAATCTGCAAGGGTATACTATCAACTTTCGCTCCGCCCGAAGTTAGCTTTCCTTTCTTGTTTTATAATGTGGTAACCAAGTAGTAAGAGAGGTATTAAGGTATAATAAAATATTTTATATTTTAAACAAAGGAACTGCATATGGTATGTAGTCTTGTGAATGTACAATGTAACATAGAGAATAAATCATCTCCGACCCCACAAAGTATAAACCTGAGGTTTTTATACCCTCGCAGAGGGTACTATTATTATTTTGTCAAAATTTGGAGCAGATACCAATCCAAATGGAACCGAAATTGCGTTCCTTGCAGCTCCTTCTGGAGAATTTCCACTTTATGATGTTAAAAGATTGAAACTAAAAGGTGGCTTTTTCAGCGATATTAGTTTTACATATATCGGATGTATTTTTATTTCAAAAGCTTGTACAAAATGGTTTCTGGTAAACTAGTCCTAACGTGACTCAATTTCTCCAAGTATGTGGTTATCTCTGATCTTGGATCTGATGGTACTCCTTCCGTTGCGCGAATTTCGCTTCATCCGCTTCCAAACCCTTTTTTTCTGTTCTTCCACTATCGCAATGACACTTCTTGAGATTAAGTCATCCTTTGAACCAAAAAGTCGCTGCATATCGTCGATCTCGAAGCCCCTGAAGAGAGCAACCAACTCCAAAGCCACTAGGATAAGGGACGCTGCATTATCCTTGACTCGCTTGAACATCCAGCCTCGTCCCCAGAGCCAATAATGGCATGCCATTTTAACGAGGTAATGAACAGTTACGCTGAGGGGAAACCACGCTACGACCAAAAGGACTTGGACCACTATGCAGAGGATCAGGACTTGCGCAATCTTCTCCAAAACATTTGGATTGTAGTCCACATCTTGGCTAAAGATTTTTTTCAAAGCCAGCACAGTGAGGAATATGAACACAATCGACTCCATGGTGCCCTCGGTGAGATTGTAGAAGAGATTATTCATATGGCAAAAAAGGGAAATCATCATTGCAATGATATAGACTTCATCCATGTTGTCCAACTAAAAATAGCTATATGTATTATTCTTATTATTTTTTGTATATTAAGTTACTTACTTCTCGATAGAACCTTAAATTATTTGTAAAATCAAATGTATTAGATATGTTTAAAAGCTTACTAAAATTTATAGCACAACTGAGCAGTAGGAGCTCTTTTTAAAAATGGAGTTGAGTTTGGGGCGATTGGTTTTAAATTGTTTTCATCGCCTACTATTGTTAGGCATTTAAGGTCGATAATGGTCGGTAAAAAGGTCGGTAATTTTTATAAAAATTTTTCAATGAAAACGGTGCCTCAAATCTTTTATTGCACATTCTTACTGACTTTGAGACTGACTGTAAGGGCACTTCAGAATTTTAATGATTTCTGATTTAATTTTGGTAGAGATTACCGCAAGCCGGAGGATTTTCACGCGATTTTCGTGAAAGTCTGGGAATGGAACCCTTGATCAGACGCACCTTTACCGAGAACTACAGCGACTGGAGTATTCGTCCTTCAGGAACCCTACAGCCACCGCCGCAAAATCTGGAATGTAATAGTCCCAGTCCGTAATGCCTCTCTGATGGGACCGGTTCGTAATCCGAATCCCACCATGAATACGGGGCACGTGACCAGAGCTTCGGATACCATAGCATCGGAGGGTATCGTCGACCCGATTCCGAAAACCGCAATGACTGTTCGATCGAGATCTTTGGTTTTATAAATTAAAAGAAAATTTAATTTTCCAAACAACTTGCCCTCTTTATAAAGCTTCAGCCAGAACTGGTTATACATATCATAGGTATAACCTATAACTGGTACATATAGGTAAAACAATAAATTCATTTTTATACTTTCCTTTGCACGCAGTATAGAAAGCAGCTTTCAACGGACTGAGCTCAATACACTGTGCAAATCACTTAATCCACAATGTGATTTGCAAAATTGCGAATGAAGTACCAGAATTGCTGCATTTGATTAATCGCTGCAGCAAGCTTGTTAAATATTTTAAAAAGTCTGGACAAAACTTAACAAGCACCTTAAAAAGCTACTGTCCAACTCGTTGGAATAAAATATTTGAAGTCGGTTGAGCAAAACTGGATGAAAATTTCGCAGATTTTGGTGGATAAAAATGAAATTTCAAGAATCCAAGACATAAATTTAAACAATATTAGCGGAATGGTCAAGCTTCTTGCTCCGTTTGAAATGTGTTCCAAAAAGCTGGAGGGAAGCAATTATCCAACATTGCACTTAACTGTTCCACACATCAATAATTCAAAAAAAATATCCTCACCAATACAAAATGATTTGGAAATAGTCAAAAAATGCAAACTAAAGCTTTTACCATAGAGTACATAGACTCGATAGTTATACAAAATCTTAAAAAGTTTCACAACATTGCCCTGTTTTTGTTTCCACCCACCAACAAATTAGCTAAATTTTCACAATTAGAAAAGGACCAAACTTTTAATCAAGTAGAAGAAATGATGATTAATATTCATATTAATAGCCAAAACGATGACATTGAAAAATTAATTCAACCTACGGAAGTCATAGACAACATATTTGCAGACTATTCAGAACCCATTCAAAGCACCAATATTTTATCGGATATTCAGGATGAGCTTCAAACTTATAAAAATGTTAATAAAGCGCATAGGGAAGATTTTGATGTTCTGCAGTGGTGGTCAATAAATAAAGACCGTTTTCCGCTGCTTTATCAAATTAGCTGCAAGATACTAGCAGCTCCCGCGAGCAGTGCAGCATCGGAAAGGGCATTTTCTGTTGCCAAAAATTTAATTTGCGAAAAACGGGCCAAAATTGCCACATCTGAGGACATGGTCAATAAAATAATGTTTCTTCATTACAACATTAATAATTTAAATAAAGATAATTTAATAACATAAAATAATTATTGTAATAAGCATTCATTTTAATATTAATAATTTGTAAATACACTATTTTATAATAAATACATTTGAAACGAAAATACAAATAAATTTTTTAATCAGACATTACATAAACACGAGAAATATTTATGTGTATGTTCCAGTCATGAAGTTTCTCTCACTGTACAGTAAGTCAACTGAACACCAAAACACTGTACAGTGAGTTGACTACGGCACACTAATTTACCTGTACTCATTAATAGCTGTACAACTATGGAATGAGTGTGAAAACTGTCAAATAAAACAAAAAATACTACCCTACTCATTCATACCCAAATATACTGTGCTGAAAAAAAAGTGTGCCCACTTTTAGAATAAATGATTCATTTGTCATTTTGGATACATTCATGCAGAAGTCTATGTACTACATACCATGTAGGGCATTTTTCGAAATTATTAAACAATCAGGAGTGCCAAAGAAATCGCTCGAATGAGCTCAAAATTTACTATTTTCATTCAACTGCGTTACTGCCTTCAAATTTTCAGCTCCATGATTCCGCTGTGATTCATTTGTCAATCCGGTGAAAGAGTCGTGGTTAACGTTTCAGAATTTCTATTAAAAAATCGATGTAAGGTACTAATTACAATAAAATTTTTGTGGATCCATCAACCTGACAATTGTTAGAAGAACCCAGCCACCCGCGGCCACAACTACCGTGCCGAGTTGCGCCTGCCAATTCTGGCCCAACGATCAGCCATGCTCGGCCCTAACGATCGTGGCCAGTCGTTCAGTAATTTGGCAGCTATAAGATATAGTCGGCCGATCGTTATGAAATTTGGTAGCTCGGATTAATTGACCAATATAATATGTACTAAGTTCCAGTTTTCTATCTTTAAAACCGAAAACGGAAAATGGGTCATTTCCGATGGTTCAGTTATATGGGATATAGGATATAGTTGGCCGATCCTTATGAAATTTGGCACGGCGTATTATTTTGCCAAAAATAGCACTGAACAAGAAAGGAAAGCTAACTTCGGGTGGAGCCGAAGTTGATATACCCTTGCAGTTAAAAGCCGATATAAATCGCAAACATCGGATAAAGGTTGCCGGTCCTTATGAGAATATCATCATAAAACCAATCAATTACAATAAAATATATAAAAAAAAGTCCCAAGCTTCTATCTTCAAAAATATCAAAGTTGGTATTTCTACCAAAAACCATTTCCGATCATTCAGATATATTTCAGTTATAAGATATAGTTAACCGATCGTTATGAAATTTGGTAGATCGGATTAACTGACCAAAAATATAATCTGTACCAAGTTCCAGCTTTCTATCTTCAAAAACAAAATGGGTTCAGTTATATGACCCTCTGCAAGGGTATTATATGAAAATTGTTAAAGTCATAACGTTTTTCCCAAAACAAGTCAGTGCAATTTTACCAGCGCTTGGGAGTAACAGTGTGTAAATATATAAACGCAAGGGAAGGGCACACTATTGCTCCGGAACGCTTTAAGACTGTGACTCTCGTAGAAACAGACGGACCGACGGACATGCTCATCAGAAGGTGATCCTGATCAAGAATATATATACTTTATAGGGTCGGAGATGTCTTCTTCACTGCGCTGCATACTTTTGAATAAATTTATAATGCCCTCTAATTTTTTCAAAATCATAATTATACCCGGTACTCAAGGGTATATTGTAGTCGTGCGAATGTATGTAACATAGAGAATTGGTTCGGTAGTTTGTTGGGGTGTTGCAATGGCCCTGAAAGGGTGGTGACACGAATTTAAGTACTGTTGGATGGAAATATGTTATATAAAATAATATAATTTTTAGGTTATTTTGAAAATTTTTAGTGAATTAGTGTTGTAAGAAATAATTGTATTTATATATGCATGTACATATATTATTAATATACTGAAAAAGTATTATTGAGTGCAAATTTTAACAAAGAAAGAACTTTTGTATTTTCAGGTAGTTCATTTCTTGCTTATTTTAGTACAGAAAGTTCTGTCACTCCTGCCATATCTCCCACGTTGACATCTCATACATCGCTGTACAATGATAAGCAATTTTTGACTGGGGTAAGTCTAAATTTGATATTTAGTCAAACAAATTTAAAAAAAAAAACTGCAGAAATCCCAATTCTTTACCTTGGGTTTTCTTCTAAAAATGCGGGAAATTCCATCTTAAAGCTTTGAGGAAATACTGTTGGACCCTATAAAGTACATTTGAACTTTATGTTGATATAAAACACTAGATTTAATCAGCACAGATCTTTAAAAGTTTAACGTTCTTAATTGATTTTCCCAATAGCTTTGTCCAGTAGTGTCTAGCTCCGTGTTACCACATGAGTTTGGGCGTAAAAGCCGGAATATGTGGTATCTTGAGAACAACGCACGAGAAATACATTTTTTTTCAATAATAAAGACTATTTACATTATTTTTTAAGCACTTTGTTGTTTGAGTTTGTTCCTATTCGGTGTTTAAGGACGTTTGCTCAAGTCTTTAAGACTTAAAACCGCGAATAATATCCAATCAAAAAGTTATCCTGATCAATAATACATATATGCATGTGATGCTTATCACAAAATATTCGAAACAATAGATCCCTTCACTCTACAAGTAGTCAGATGTATGTAATTAGAAAAGCTGTTCGTATGTTCCGATTCGAATATTTTCTTATACCTTTGCAGAAAGTACAAAAATCTACGGGGTCAGATTTCATCCAAAGTTGATAGGTAGTTTTACAAAGTATTTAGGTAATTTTATTTGGCGCCGAACTATTACTATTTTTCCCAGAAAAATTTAAAAAAGTGAAACAATTCAAATTGCACCCTGAGGAATTCAAGAGGGAGCAAAGCAGCGGGTGGGCTTTTCTTTGCCAATTTATCTGGCCCCCATCTGCATTTGTTTACTTCGCCGGTTACTCGCCGCAGCGTACCTCAGCCAGTTTTGCATAACAGTTAACGAACGTTTTTTGTGAATTTTTTCATGTATAGTTTAGCATGCCGCTTGCTTCATTGGCATATCAATCAAGCGACCAAAGAGGGTACGAATGCAATACGCTAGCGAGGGAAGGCTTAAAAGATTCAAATTTTAGGGATACCAAAAATCAAAGACTTTATTTTTAAGGAATTTTGGAAACACTGCGTTGACCAATTCTATTATAGATCTCTCAAAAAAGTTTAAGGAGCTATTTCTCTGCACATATGTAGGTATCTATGTACTTTTAAATCCGAATGTTTTGGAAACGATTGATTACTTTTTTTACCACCTTCGCATTAAAACTGGCCCAACTCTAGTAAGGTAGAAAATCGTGG